TTAAGTTAACTATATTAAATTATATAAATATAAAAAGCATACAGACGCATTTTTGCCGTCTACAATTTAGAAAGCCTGGAATTTTCCAATGTAGTGGAGTAAAAGTAAAAGTTGGCTGAAATATAAAAACTCAAGTAAAGTACAGATACTCCCAAAAAATACTTAAGTACTGTAACAAAGTATTATTACTTCGTTACATTACACCACTGTCCATGTCAGGTTTGAGTAGTGGTGCAGGCGTCATTCTATTGTATTTGAGGGGATTTCTAGAGTATCAAACTTTGGAAAAATGCCAATAAAACAAAGACTTACAAAGGATCTAGGCCATATCTAAAGAGTGATACACCAGAATGTCCTTCAGACAGGAAAGATGACACCAGTCTAGTGGCTTATATTGAAGAAATAGTCTTTTTATAAAGGGGGTGTAAAGAATTCCATACACTTTGTTAGAGGGGCTTTGGGCACCTACATGCTTAAAAATAAAGGTTCTTTATTTGCATTGATGGTTCCATGAAGAACCTTTACCATCCATGGAACCTTCTTAATTGCACAAAAGGTTCTTTATAGGGGAAAAGGTTATTTAGATTCTTAAAATGTTTTCCACACTAAGAAAAAAAAAGGTTATTTTAAGAACTGTTCTCTGAATGGTAATTTGGGGTTCTTTGAGGTTGAATTTTTGGAGTACAGTCAGAAATCATTTAAGTAACTCCATAGCAACTACTAAAATGTACATGGGAAATATTTTCTTAAAAGGCTATATGAAACCTGAAGGAGGGAGACTGGAGCCAGGCCAACTCAAATATAGTTGTGGCTCTTTTTTGCACAGGTAAACACTATTTCCTCACAACTGTGATTCGGTCTGGGGCACTTACTGGAAATGCTTTGAATGGGGTCCTTTTTCTGGTAGTTTACTTTTTGTGAATAAGATAAGCTGGCCTAACCCAGCCTGTTTTAAATACAGTCTTTGGAGGGGATGTGTGTGACTTCCATGATTAACATCCATCTTGGAAGATCCAATTATTCAACCACGTTGTATAGGCGGTGAGGGATGCTAATGTGAATGTTAAATGTGTCCTGATATGCCCTGGACAACAGCAAAGTCTTTGTGTCTTTTTTTAATCTTTTATTTTCTCTAGGTTTTTTTTGCCAGACACCTGGGGCCTCATTTATCAACAGTGCGTACGCACAGATGTGTGCGTAATGAGTGCGTAAGAACAGTTTCGCGCAAAGTGCGGGATCTACCAACTTGTACTTATACGTAGAAATGTGTGTAAATATATGTCCCATAGTTGTGTCCAATCTTTTAGATTTTTCATGTACATGTTATAAATAAAGGATTTCCTTAATGTTGTAGATCCCTTGTTCACATTTAAACAGGTTATAATAGTAGTAGAGTAGGTTGGACACTAGGGGGTGCTTTGGGGTAATTTTTTTACTATGCAATTGTCTACACAACACAAGGCTAATTCTAAACTTTAAAATATACATTTATTTTTTATTTATTTTAATTACACATTTAAATTAAACTGAAGGAAATTATCAATTTACCCGCTTAAGGATTATTCAACCAAACGTGAAGTGTGCCTGTGTGGAAAGTAACTGTGCTTGGTCCTTCTTGGGTCCTTCACAAAAACAAATGAGCGCCATTTAAAAAAATTAAAATAGGCTCTATATAATATGCACTGTTGCTTAGTATTACATTATAGCTTCAGATGCATGATATTTGTAGGGCCCTATGAAATCCGTTTTATTTTTCCCAAATTAGCCTAAGTTTTATTTTTCCCAAATTAGCCTAAGTTTTATTTTTTCCAAAATCTTTTTTTTTCGTTTGAATTTTTCGGGATTCAGTTTTTTTTTTCCGTTTGAATTTTTCTGGATGATTATATTAAATTGTAACAAAAACCATGTCTAATTAATTAAAATCATGAAACTTGTTTAATTTAACAGCAATTTATAATTGGTGTCAAACCCTATAAAAGACAGCTGTGACAAATGTTTGTCTCAGTGCAATGGCTTATCTTGCGTTATTGGAAGACTTGGCAAACAATGCGCTCCGCAGAGAATGCGTTTTCAAAGACCGCGCCAAGAGTGAGAGCACAGATTGGCTTCTCAGTCGGTACCGCTTTCTTTGCCATGATTTCAGTGAGGAGTGAGGACACATACATTCACGTGATTTATAAAGAGAGGTGTTGCCACCATGTATGGTTCATTGGAGGCGTTTCCGAATGCAAATTAGGGATAATTGTGTAGGATAGAACTATTTTCCTGCTCATCTGAACACACGCAAATGTTGCAAGGCAGAATCAAACCATCACAGAGAGTGTTCACTCACTTCTGAGTTCATTCAAACAGGGCTGCGTTTCCCAAAAGTATCATAAGAAAATAATTTAAAAGTTTAGTTCAGAAGTATCGTATCGGTATCAATATCAAAATAAGTGGTATCGCCCATCCCTAATGCAAATGACCGTGAACGTGAACGAGCATGGTACTGACGCACATGTGGGATTTATTAGCTGTGTCTCATTTAGAAGGCTGCGCCCTCCGGAGGTCGCATTCGAAGGCTGCATACGTCATCGAGGCTGTCTCATTTCAGAAAAGCAAGTAGTTTCCTTCATTTAAGTTGTGTGAGAGCGCAACGATGCTCTAAATGTGTTGGCATAGCAACGTGATACTTCCTGTTTCCTTTTCCGCCTGTCCTATGAAGGCCGTCTCATTTAATTCTAGGTTGAGGACACTTCGTATATGCATCCTACAGAGGATTCGACCTCCGGAGGGCGCAGCCTTCTAAATGAGACACAGCTAATGATTGCTTACTCGTGTTCGTAAGAACTGCGTGTGCACGACACGTTTTTAAATCACAGGCAGGGGGACAATCTCAATCAACTTCAAAGTTTGTTCCCTGCCCAGAGCCCCCTTAGTCGTGATAAAAATAAAACGCTGTTGGTTATATAAGAGGATAAATTCCAGATCATATCAAGCTTGTACAGTATCAGTATGATGTTTCTAAGCTTTAAAAAACTTTATCACAGATACAGACAAATAAGCCATGTCTGATTGAAAGATACTCCAGAATAGGGATGTAGCCTACTATGACAGTTCTGGCTTCTAAGTAGTTATGTAGGAGATAATGTACATCCAGCTGGTTGTTATCACAGAATAAACCCCAACAGGGTAGTCTTGTCTCATTTTGCAAGAATAACCGGCTAGATGTACATTATCTCATTTATTACACGGCTATAGTGTATATATATATTATACTTAACCCTCTGGTGCGCTTCGTCATTTTTTACTGATTTTTTAGAATTTTTTACTTAATCGAAATGGTATGAAACCAGGTAAAGGTTTTGGGACTTAACGTGTGAACAAAAAATAAATAAACAAACAAACAAATAAATAAAACAAATCATGGACATCATGGGCCTCAAAAAGGTTAAGTGGTCCTTTAAAAAATAGTAACACCTGTTCTCCTCACGGTCAAAAATGACTGCATTGAAACAAATGGGAAAGGAATTTCACCTAGTGGAAAAGGTACCCAAACATAATCTTACTGAAAGCAAATTTTTTGAGATATTAACCTCAAATTTGGAACACAACTCATTTAGATTTATGGCTTTGATTTTACCACAGTTTTAGAGTAAAACATGTTTTGGAAAATATATTTCAAATATAATTTGAAGTAGTATTTTTGTGCTTTTTTCATAATAAACTAACCTATACAATATCTTTAATTTCATTTTTTCCCACTTTGTTTTCTTCTTTTTTTCACTTAAGCAATAATCTGTCGAGTGCCTTTAATAAAAAGAGACCAAACTTATGTCTGTGCTCCAACAGGGGGAAAAAATGGATTATAATTACTGCATAAATATAATTTAGTGCATTAAAATCTCCTAATTCAATGGTTTTCTATCCTGGTCCTGGGGACCCACCACTCTGCACATTTTGTATGCCTCCCTTATCTGACACACTCAGCTGAACTCATGGGCTGCGTTCCACTCCACTTTTAGACACGCACTCGCGAACTTCCCTAAGCACTTCCCCTCGGGGGAATCCCCGCTGCCATTTTGAAGTGTGTTCCACTTCGTGAAGTGGACGAGGGAAGTTTATACCCAGCAAGCAATTTTGTGTTTAAAAGACGTCTATTAGCCGTCTAAACACAGCCAAGACGTCAAGGCTAAATTTGGGCTGTCAGTGAAAATTTAATAGACGTCTAATCATAGCCCATTTATAGACTAGTCATCAAATAGACCGCTATTAAACGACTACATATATACGTCTAATAGACAACAAAATGTCAATCCATCCAAACAAATGAAATATACAGCTTTTATTAAGAAAAATAATTTTTTTGACAACTTAAGACAATACAAAATGATTAAAATACAAAATAATTAATGACAAAATAAAATTTTATAAATACAATACACTTAAATATAAATATTATGATAAAGAAAATCTGGAATTTTTAACAACTTAAGATAATAAAAATGAATTAAGATAATAAAAATTAAGATATTTAAAAGAAAAAAAATCTAATACAAATCAAGATAAGAAAGAAAAAAAAAGCACAAGAAAAGCTTTTCTCTTTTGCTTGGATGCCAACTAAAAACAAAAACGAGATGTATTGTGTATCACCATTCAGTGTGTTAAAAAAGAGAGAAACCTCGCTGGTAAATGTTGTGTGTTTATACACATACCTCTGATGACCGAGAACAGTGCAGTCTTTTCAAATGCCTCTTTCTGCAGCGGACCACCCCCCTTCATATTGAATTTGGACATGAGGGAATTTTTTTCAAACCCTAAAATATAATACAGATTGAGGTGGTTAACAACTGCGGACAAAGTTTGACATTTCAAAATGACCAGCCAAGGAATTCTTTTTTAAATTTCTGATTTGCGTTGTAACTTATTGAGTATTGACACCACACAGTTTGATTAATGTGGCAAGATTTGTAGGCGTTACCTGTCCAGCATCCTTCTGGCACTGTCTTTGAGGTTTCTTCCTTCAACTCTGCACAACTTTGACACCTGAATAACACATGCCAATGTCAGGCAGGTAGTATTATATGTGTCCGTGTACACGTGTTTACCAATGAACCTGTGTCCCTTTGTTTAGGGCTGTTATGTCCTGGTGTATTCCGGGTGGCGTAGTCGACTATAGGATTTCTCTTATTATTGGTAATTTTCTAAGCACCTGACCACGTACTGCCACACTTACAAGACCAAGTAGGAATGTCCTTTATCGTTTGTTGTTTGCCCGCTGCTCTCCGACAGGTAAACTTAGTGCTCTCTCCTGTAAAAACAACATTCAAAACACAACACTGATCTCTACTGACTCTCATGTCTCACGTTGCCAGTAGTCATGTCTCAGTAGGGCTACAATTGCCATCTAGCGGTTGGGAATTGTAATTGCATTTTTATTTATAAAATAAAAGACAGCCGAATATCAATAATATCATATAATGTGTATGAATGTAACATTTAGCTTGTGGGATGCATGGCATCATATTATCAAATGCAAGTAAACTTTTGAAACATTTAAATTAGCATTATTTTTGGTATAGTAAATAATGCTATATTTAAAAATGCTGTAACATAATTAAATAAAATATAAAATAATGCTAATTTAAATGTTTCAAGAGTTTACTTGCATTTGATAAGAAGCTGCGTGGGCGAAAATTACATGTAAACAATTTTAAGGCTATTTTGGCTATGCTCATCGCTGGTCTGGTTACTGGTATAGGGCTATAGCCAAACGCCGTTAAAATTAGACCACAGATTGCCTCGATTTCGCCAGGTGGGCTAAAAGCAGACTACACGTAGCCCGTCCAATTTAGAGCTAAATCGTGGCTACATATAGACCACGTCATGCAATGACACTTATATCTTTGTAGATATTATTGACACTGCGAACATGATGGGATATCAACCATCTCATGCGCTGCCTGGCCAAAAACTACAGTGAATCAGGTTTGATTATAAGTGGGCTACAGATAGCCGCTCGGACTACGAGCTAAATCGTGGCTACGTATTGAACATGCCAAAGAAATGAAACCAAACACCTTGTAAACGCTGTTGACTTTGCTTACATGATGGACTATCATACATCTCACAAGTTATTTAGCCAAAAAACGACATGAAACCAAATTCAAGGTTATTTGGGCTAGAAGTGGGTTACATATATCGGGTCTATACTTAACCAAGACGTTAAAATGACGGCTATTGCTTGCTGGGTATGGACAGACCCTCGATTTTGACCGAGGGAGCGAGTATGCTTCATATGCACACTTCAGGCCGCTCCATATACCACATTGTGACGTCATCGCAGATCGCGTTTAATTTATCCCCACCTCAAACAACTGTATAATATATAAATTATTTTTTTTTACATTTATAACAGCCCAACCATACCTATATACATATAGAATGCTGCACCGAACAAATTTATAAGGGAAAAAATGTAAACAATAAACCAACTCCAGCTGATTCTAAGTGATCAAGGGCTTAGGACGTTCCAGTTCAGCACATTCCAAGGGTTCCGCCAGTAGTGGACACTCATGCAGCGTAATCAATGACGTACATCTGACTAAACGAGATGGAGGGAAGTTTGCGAGTGAAGGGCATAAAAAAACGGACTGGAACGCAGCTATGGAGCTCTCACCTAATGAACCGATTATCTCAATCAGGTGTGTTAAATAAGTGAGACATGCAAAATGTGCAGAGCCGTGGGTCCCAGGATCAGGATTGAAAACCACTGTCCTAATTTATATGCTAGCAAGTGGCTTTTAGCCAAGACGACCGATCAAGTTCAAACTACTGTAGAGTCTGTGACTAAAACAATAGCGTCTCTATAGTGATAATCGCCTCTGACGAAACCATGTCCTTCCCTCTTATCAGTGTGCCAGGATTCCCATGGTAATGAAAAAGATGTGAATTTTGAACAGGCAAAAAATATGTGATTGTATTAAATATTTTTCACCTATTCACATTTTTAAAAATCCTTATGCAATATGCATTCATCAATAACAACTACAAAAGTCTGTGGGCTGCATGCTGTCCTTGAAGTTGTCAATATTTTTTTTGATTTTGTAGTTTACATATCCAACTGCACATGGGTTGCCTTTGTGGAAGCACTTCAGAGAGGTTTTCATGCCAACCCTGTATTTTGTGTAATCATGCGGCAGTAACGAGCTCCAAAAGCAAAAGTCATTCAGACCATCTATTATGACACTAACCCAGTAATCACATTCTGTTGACATCCAGACAATGGCTCTATTACCAAACTCGCACAGGCGTACTCCCAACGGACTGTTCTATAAGCCCATTCATATATATAATGTTTAATTTAATTCCTATATATATATATATATATACACACACACACACATGTATCAATCAACCAACATATTCAACAACTGAGACATAAACAGAACAAATTTCACATACATTTGACAAACAGAAATGGAATAAAGGAGAAAATGGAGTCCCTAAACAAAGCGGGGGTCATGGATATCAAAATGATGTTAAAATGTGCTTGAAATGTTCAGAAAGTACTCATACTCGAACAACAATTAAAATTAGCAGAGCTATGCAATTTTTGTTTGCAGAAACAAAATAATAACATTAAAAATGGTCAGATTTTAAACAACAAAAAATATTGTTTGGGTGACTTCTAACATGTTATCTACTAACATGTAGGCTATTACATGTTCAAATAAAGTTTTGACAAAAGAGAAGTGTTATTCCTCACAATTCAGCCTTTAATTCATTAACCAATTTAGCAACCAAACTGCTAAATTAAAGGTATTTTATCTGCTTCATAAACAGTTCTACATAGGCTACCTCATTATCCGAAGTGTTGAGATTTTCTGAACACAAATGGCAGACAGACAAATGTAAATCCACTGTCTGACAGCAAACAATGAAGATATGGCGCTTTTCCACTGCATGGTACGACTTGGCTCGGCACGGCTCAGTACGGCACGGCACGGCACGGCTCGGCTCGGTTTGCGTTTCCACTGCAGTTCAGTACCGCTTTAGAGTGGGCGGGATTATTCACATGTTGTTGATATTTCCGCCGCCTCTATTGCCGCGACTCCTGAAAAACTTTTTCATTCCGCGTCCAATCCGTGATCGGCATAGTTTACACGTCACTTTTTGGTAACGGTACGGTTCACTTGGAACCTCAACCGAGGTGGTACTAAAAAAAGTACCAGGTACCAGGAACTGTACCCAGTGGAAACCCCCCCAAAAGTACCGAGCCGTACCGTGCCGTACCATGCAGTGGAAAAGCGCCAATAGTCATTTCCCCTTATGCATTCATATAATTCATTCTTTCATACATTCTTTCGGATAATTTCTCTCAGCACTCTGCCTTCATTCATGCTTTCACACAAAATTAAAACCTGTGCCTGCGTGAGACTGTTACTAACTTTGCTTGACTCTGAGCATTATTTACTGTAAGTTTTTGAAATCTCAATAATCAAATACTGTTTTAATGATAATTAAAATCTGAAATGGTAACACTAACCGTCGAGACTTTTTTAATCATGGTTTATCATCAACCTGGTGATCGTTTCATCCCTACTGCAGTGCATCTCATCTTAATGGGCTGAGAAAGATTAGGCAGGTCTTGCTGTGAGATGTTCTTTCACTCTTCTATCAAGGCACTTGCAAGTTCTCGAACACATCTGGGGGAACATATGGTTACAAGGACGATTGACTGTCCTTCCTGTCTGTCTGTAGAACTGTAGGCCTCTTACATTACGTTCATTGCCGTTTATTGCTCTGGCCACATTTGCAGTCCTCATGCTTCCCTGCAGCAAATCAGGAACGCTGTGCATCTTTCTTCTGGTGTTTTTCAGAGTCAGTAGAAAGCTCTGTTTAATGTCCTAAGTTATTGGAACTGTGATATTAATTTTCCTCCATCTGTAAACTGTTCGTGTCTTAATGACTGTTCCTCAGGTGCATGTGCAATAATTGTTTATGGTTCATCGAACAAGCACAAAAAACACTTAAAGATCTGTAAAGCTTATTTGGACTTTACAAATTTAGTACAAAATTAGTACAGTGTCCTGAAAAAGGGATGTTTATTTTTTTGCTGAGTTATGTACATGCCCGTGTTGTTGAATGTGCAAATTTGTGCTTCCTCCAAACATCCTCTCAGTATAAACTTTCTCTTCTCCAGATTCCTTTAGCGTCACAGTACCCTCTAGTCCTGTTCTCGTGGTGCGTGGAGCCACGGCACTTCTTCCCTGTGAGTTTGAACCAAACTCTAACGCTTTGGTGGTCACATGGCAACGGGAGGAAGACGCTCGGGTGGTCCACAGCTTCTACTACGAGAGAGACCAGCTCGAACGACAAAGCTCCGATTATTTCAACCGGACAAAGTTAAATCACAAAGAATTTGCTAAAGGAAACGCATCCCTGAGTATAGCCAGTTTTGGACTGAAGGATGCCGGGAACTACTTGTGCATAGTGAGCAACAGCAAGGGATCTGACAGAGGAGTGGTGCATTTGGTTTACGCAGGTACACCAGTGGTATTTTAATATAGTATCACTGAGATACTATTGTAGTTTTTATTAATAGATGTTATTTTTAAAGGGGTCATATGATGCCATTTCAAGTTTTCCTTTCTCTTTGCAGTGTTACAAGCTGTTCGTGAATAGATAAGATCCCTAAAGTTGCAAAGACTAAAGTCTCAAATCCAAAGAGATGTTCTTTATATTTATTTAAAACGGCTCGTTCTAACACGCCCCCCACATGTCTACGAGTATGGTGAGGGACGTAACATTTCCGTCACACGCTTGAGGAATTCAGCCAATCACAACGCACTGGATAGCTGGCCAATCAGAGCACACCTCGCTTTTCAGACCGATGAGCTTTGTAAAAATCGACGCGTTTCAGAAAGGCGGGGCATAGAGGAGAAACAATAATGTACAGTATGTGGAATACACCAAATACACAAAATAATGTTCTTTTTTACCAACGCCATATGACCCCTTTAAATATATATTTTATTTTTTATATTTTATATTAATTTTATATTTTTATATATTTGTTTCATTTTAATTGTAGTTTGTGTTTTTTTTTTTTTTTAATGTCTGTATTTTTATAATTTTTATGTCAGTTTTAGTTATTCTAGTACATTGTTAGACTAAATGAAAAAAAGAAATGTTGCTTTTTTAATTTTATTTCAGTTAAAGTTTTTTAAGTTATTTCAAGGAACAATGTTTTTTGTTTTGTTTTTTGTTTGTTTTCACTTTAACCCTGCCAAACATTAGTCAAAAGTCGAGTTAAAGCAATATTGTTACTCATGTTATTACAAACCTGTATGTTGTAATGTTTTTGGTGCAACACAAAATGAGAAATGGGAACTGAGAATACCTTTTTTGTAATATTACAGACACAATAATTTCAATTTATTTCTTTTTTTCCTTTGTTTGCATTGAAACAAGTCTTGTACTCTGTACAAATGCATATACCAAGTCATATGGATTCATATTCTGTCGTTTAATTTTGACTTCTAATAGTTTGATATGAGAGATGATCTGGTAAATCATTGTGTATGTCTTGTGTCGTCAGCCTTCTATTCAGAGCCGAGGTTAAACATCCTTCTAAAATCCACCGATGTGACTGTCCAGTATGAGACGGAGGGCTACCCGAGGCCAGAGGTCATGTGGCTGGGGTCAGGAGGTCAGAATCTCACTGACCACCTGGAGGTTTCGTCTGCATCAGACGGAGGACTGTTCTACTTAAAAAGCAGCTACATAACCCAGAGTCCAGCGTTCAATGTCATATTTACTCTAACAAACCCTGCTGTGCATCAGAAGCTACAGAGGCATGTTAACGTCACCTATGGTAAGCACTGCTTTCTGGGATAAGATTGTATTTGATTGTATTTCATCAATGATTTAATTAGATTTTATCGTTACCCAGCTGCTGTTACAATCATGAATTTTACATATCGAAAAAAAGTTTTGAGTCCATATGATTTTTTAAAAAGTTTTTGAAAGAAGTCTCTTATGCTCACCAAAGCTGCAATTATTTGATTGAAAATACAGAAAAAAACAGTAATATAACTGAAAGATTATTAGTTGTGAAACTAACTTAAAAACTTAAATGAACTGTTTTCTATTTGAATATATTTTAAAATGTTAAAATAAACTGATTTGCTACTTAAGAAACAGTTCTAATTATCCTCAATGTTGAAAACGGTTGAGATACTTCATATTTTTGTGGAAACCAATATAAAAAATGTTTCAGGATTCTTTGATGAATTGAGAGTTCAAAAGAACAACATACATTTATTTGAAATAGAAATCTCTTGTAACATTGTAAATGTTGTAACTGAAACCAGCATACAAAAGCAAAACCTCACATGGAGTAAACATCATTATACAGTTGTGGTACACCAAGAAGGAATGTCATGATTAAATGGGAGTACTTCAAAACTCAATAAATTCCCATTGGAATTACTGCGAAATAAACAAGTCTGATTATCTCCTTAAAGAAACAGTTCACCCAGAAATAAAAAATTCTGTCATTTGCTAACGCTTATATCATTCAGAATCACAAAATGACATTCTCAATAACCAAAAGCCTGAGCAACAAGTATGTTTACAATAATACTCAAAAGCTTTGATCAACAGCACTAAAAATAGCTTAGCCAAACAACCAGAACCTTCCAATGATAAACATAATTTGCTAAACGGCAGTGGCGTGAGGTTTCTCCCGATTTCTTCCTGTTCAACAAAATTGAAAGCTGATTTGACGCACGACAGAACTCAAGCTGTTTTAGTGTGTTTCTGTGTGACAGACTAAAGGCGGGTGTACACGGTGCGATGTACACATGTGCCAAATTTGCCGTTCAGCTTTATGAATGAATATGCCTGTTGTATTTCCGGCAAAATGAGCAGAAACTCAGAAATGGCCTACTCCCTTAAGTTCTTTATGAAGAACAGAAAGTCCATGCTTTTCTCTGCTTTTCAGCCATTCTCTTTCCTTTGTCTTCGTTTTTTTTTTTTTTGGACGTCACAAGCCCCCTGCCACAAAGAAAACTATTTCGTCCTCAGAATCCATATTTTTATGAATGGCACGAAACGTAATGCTTACGTCAGAGTTTGTAAATTCGTAGTAAATTTGTGTCGTGTGTGACTGCCTCCGAATGATTTTCGGATAAACTCAATCGTGACATGTGCCAGAGCTCACGACGTTCCGACCTTCAGAATCGCACCGTGTACGCCCGCCTTACCTTGTATCTTATTTAATTGTAGTGGGAGGAGTTACAATCAGCTGACATCATCTTAACGATCTTATCAAACAGTAACAAAAAAACATAAAGATCATGTCAAGCAGTACACACAAAAAGTAAAGATCTTGTCAAGCAGTACACACAAAAAGTAAAGATCTTGTCAAGCAGTTGGCTACACAAAAAAAGTAAACCCAGCGCTGGGTAAATATTGGACAGAACACATGCTGGGTTATTTAACCCAGCTGCTTGGGTTAAAGCACACACAGAATTAGCTACTAGAGGCAACAGCAATAATCAAAGATTAACTTTTTTAATAAGCAAGCACACCCATGGGGAAAAAAAACAACAAAACAAATTGAATTTATTTGGGTTAATATCGCATAGTTTACAATATTTCATTTAAACTCGTTTATCAAGAATTTTAGAAATAAAAAAAATTTAACATTTAAAAGTAACATTTTAATTCAAGTGTATTCAACCGTTTTCTGTTATCCCTTTTAACCAAAATAGTGTTGATTCTTGAGCCGGTGTGTCGCTGAAATCTGAGCCGTTTGGCGGGGGAACCGCGAACCTCAGACCGCCGCCTCGCATTTCACTCGTATCTGAAAGATGCCATGACTGACTCCATAACCTGCATAAACAAACAGTACTGAGTATTATCAAAATTAATTAAATTCAGTATTGTGATGAATAATAGTCGTGGGAAGCAGGTGGGGGAGTGAATGTACAGCAATCTCTCTTCCACCCTTAATACCACTGAGGTGAGACCTTTGAGCAAGGCACCGAACCCCCAACTGCTCCCCGGACGTCACAGCTAAAAATAGCTGCCCACCGCTCCGTGTGTGTGTGTGTGTCTTCACTACTCACTGCTGTGTGTTTGCACTTATGGTGGGTGAAATGCAGAGCACAACTTCCGAGTATGGGTCACCGTACTTGGCCACATGTCACGTCACTTTCACTTTTTTTATGCAATTCAAAGCAAAAGCCGTTTCCGTCATGCGAAAAGACCGCTGCTGACACGTTTGTTATGTTGATTTGCGTAAAATAATATCATTTACAGCACAGTAAAGATTTTATAGATGAAATAAAATGTATGTAAACCTTTATTTGACTGAAGAAGTGCATCAGTAGGAGGTGCTGAGAACCGCTCTCTAACACAAAAACTACACAACACTGGAAAAAAGCAACCCAACATATGAGCTAACAGGCTCAACTCAGCGGTTGGGTAGAATAAATAACCCAACAGTTTTTAGAGTACGCAAAAAAAAAAAAATATATATATATTTTTTAAATAACACCTAATCAAACACTACACACACAAAAAAAACCTTTAAGATCTTATTAATCTTATCAAGCAATATTAAAAAAAACGTAAAGCTCTTATCGAACGTATCAAGCAGTATGGAGAAAAACATAAAGATCATATTCTTATCGAGCAGTATGCAAAAAAAAAAACGGAAATATCTTATCGATCTATCGATTAGGGGAAGTCGTGGCCTAATGGTTAGAGAGTCGGACTCGTAACCCAAAGGTTGTGGGTTCGAGTCTCGTACCGGCAGGGATTGTAGGTGGGGGGAGTGAATGTACGGTGCTCTCTCCCACCTTCAATACCACGACTGAGGTGCCCTTGAGCAAGGCACCGAACCCCCAACTGCTCCCCGGGCGCCGCAGCAAAAAAAATGGCTGCCCACTGCTCCGGGGGTGTATTCACGGTGTGTGTGTTCACTGCTGTGTGTGTGCACTTTGGATGGGATAAATGCAGAGCACTAATTCCAAGTATGGGTTACCATACTTGGCCACGTCACTTCACTCACTTATCTTGCAAGAAGCATGCAGAAAAATGTGAATAAACATCTTATCGATCTCATCAAGCAGTATGCAAAAAACAGAAAGCATGGTGGGTCGACCAGTGGCAGACATGGCATTATTTTGGAAAAAGTGTCAGCTCATGATATGGGGTTGTAGAAGAAAGCATTTTAACACCAAAAACCTTAATTTCATTACAGATACCACTCTGAGTGAAAAACGAACCTGAAATTCGTATTTTCAAATCTGAAGACACCTCGAATTCGAAAGTACTCCGAATTTAAGTACTTTGTTTGTCCCACACACAGTTTCTGCCAATCTCATGTAAATCTCGAGTACCTAGGCTATAGAGTGATATTGCATCATTCATATATCACCTAAGAGTCTTTAGTTTTATCAGATTTATAAAAGACAGATACAGCTTTACGCTTCTCTATGAAAACAGCCGAGCTCCTGGTGTGACATCGACATGAATAAAACAGAAACAAAAACGTCGACTTAAATTTGATTTAATTTGTTTATAAAACATTTGTTGCCCCGGAGAAATAAACTGCATCTGCTGTTCCCTTAACAGCTGGGTTCTTTGGGAAGCCGAACAAACAAGGTGATCTGTCCGTCACAACCAAAACCACACTTCTTTGGTGACTGTTGATTTTATGGTCTAAAAACAAAATGACAAATCCTTCTTGAGCAAGTCCTGTGCAGCTCTGACGATGACTTCAGTAACCCGAATGAAGCATGTTGATGGGTCTCTTGCTCTCGCTCTGTTAGCTGTGTGCGTGCGCTCTTCCGGGAGAAGTGCCCATATAAGGAATTCCACCCTTTATGACGTCATACAGGGCCATACTAAAAAAAAACTTTCTGAAACTTATACGAACCCTGAAGGAGTGTATTTAGCACAGAATTACTCCATCATACGTCCAACTTGTGTTTTGAAATTTTGGCCATGTTTACCATCAGAATCCAACTCTTTAACAGTGTAAATAAGTCAGAATAGCATTAGACCTCCACTTTAATGACAGCAGCACTCGGGTCTGGATTGTAATAATCCGTAGCAAACAGTGACTGTCTGAGTGGCTAGAGAGCTCATTATCCTTCAGTACTCTGTCTGCACCAATCCCACAGATGGAGTCCGTATTGGCCTCAGGTGTGTTTTATGTGGTGGAGTACAAAGCTCAGTGTTTTGAGCCACGGCTTGCGGAAACTGGGGGATTTTGCTGGTGTCAGGCTGCATTTCAAGAGTGCAGATTTATTTGCTACTTATTAGTTCTTGCACTATGGCTTCACTCCTTTTGTATTTCAGAACTGTTTTGATTTTTAGTTTCTTTTTCTTTTTATTGCAACGAAAAGCTGAAGTGAAAAGTTAACATGGGTCTCAGAATATCTACATTAAGCACTTGAGCTGACATCAGCCCTGATACTCATGTTCTCTGGGACATTCTGAGATGCTCCTTGAAGCAAGACAATTAAATTGTACAAAGAGTCATTTGATCAGTGTCAGTCATTTACGTGTCATGTAATTTGGTTTGTAACCTCAAACAACCAGTGCAGTGAATCTCGAGTCTTTGTTGTGTGAGTTCTTGAGAGCAGAATCAATCCTTCATTGTCTGATAGCTACCAGGTTCGTCTATGTTTCACATTACATTCTTTTTTTCTCTGGGACAATAAGCATCACCCTAGTTCCCAAACTGGCATCTATTTCAAGAATAAAAGCCACATTTTTCGGAAGGTGACACTGCAAGATTACAACACAAAAGCCTGCTTGAACAAATGAGAATCAGGAGTTTGAGCATTGCAGCTGTTTCACTGTTGTACAGACTTTTTGACCGACAGCATCAGCTTTAATATCTTCTTCCTGATTTATTTACAGGGTGTTTTGCAAGCGTTATAAATTGCATCAAGTTTGAGGAATCTGTCAGCAAAAATTTTTTTGACATTATTTTAGATAATTTCCTTCCTTCCTTTCTTCCATTGAAAGTGTTTTATGATGCAAAACTTTCTGAAATGTCAAATTGCTCAGTGTATTTGAGACATTTCAGTGTAGATCCATAATCAGTGGTCATAATAGAAAATGAGCTGGGATATGATGTATATAATTGTTCAGCAAGGATGCATTCAATTGATCAAAAGTGACAGTAAAAACATTTAAAATGTTAGAAAAGATTTCTGTTTAAAATATTATGTTGTTCTTTTGAACTTACTATTCATCAAAGAATCCTGGAAAAATGGTTTCCACAAAAATATTAAGCAGCACAACTGTTTTCAACATTGATAATAATCAGACATTTTTCTTGGGCAACAAATCAGCATATTAGAATGATTTCTGAAAGATCATGTGACACTGAAGACTGGAGGAATGATGCTGAAAATTCAGCTTTGCATCACGGAAATAAATTACTTTTTAAAATATATCCAAATAGAAAACAGTTATTTCGAGTTGTAATAATATTTCACAATATTACTGTTTTTACTATATTGAATAAATCCAGCCTCGGTGAGCAGAAGAGACTTCTTTAAAAAAAAACTCTTACCCACCCCAAACATTTGAACAGTGGTGTATGAAAGTATAAAATTAGACATCAAATGTTAAAGTCAACATAAAAATGAAAACAAATTAAAATTGGATTCATCGGTTCACATTATTCCAAAAAAAAAAAAAAGAATTTGTAATTGAGAATTTTGAACATAATTGAATATCCTGTTTAAAATGCCATTACAGAAGATGTCTGTAAACGTATGGAGTCACCTGTCAGTAACATGTTCCTCTTGTCTGTCTTTAATTTTAGATGGGAACATGAGCTCCAGAACTTCAGTTGTGGTTCTGTCTGTATTGTGTTTTTTCCTCCTGTGCTCGACGGGTCTGCTGTTATGGTTATACTGTCGTGACAGGCGCAAATGACCTCACGTCCATACTGGACTCACATGAATTGCTGAAAAGTAACTACTGCTCTTCCAATAGTGCCTCCAACATTATTTGTAAGTTTTTATTATATTTAAATGAATACTGCTGCTCTACTAGACTTTATGCAAATACAGATTTGGGACAGAAACACAATAAATCATTAAGGTTGAAGTGTGTGATTTTTGTAGCAATTACATTGTGTTTGTTTCACTTTGCTGTCCTAAAATCTTCACTAGCGACTAGATGTTTAGTGAAACCAGACAAAAAGTCCATTTCAGGCTTTTTAGAGCATCTGTAAAAATATAAGAGTGAGAATGCTATACTATAATATAATTAGAATGTTTTACAGAAATCATATCTTGCAAAATTCATGGCTTCTTTTGAATGACAGTTTATGGAAAACAATGTTATTAGAAACCTAAAGTGACAACATCTGACAATAACGTGACCATGCTAACCAGCATAACAACACTAGCATCAATTTAAGGAAGGACTATCAATCTTTATTCTGTTTGCTACCACAGAAATGATACACTTCAGCTTTAAAAATGACAGCTCAATGAATAGGGATATATTTTAAAACATTGACTATACAAATGTTTGTTTATGAAATATGCATATCACTGAAAGAATATTCAAGACAAAACGCTCACTGTATGCCTGCTGATTTTGAAGATTTTTACTACGCACAGCCTTGCTGGAGAAGTTTACTTTAGCTGTAGCAGCATTAATATTAACAAGATGTATTTTACTTTTTATTTTTTTCATTTTTATCAACTTCAGTATAAAAAATAGTGTTTCATGTTTTTTATATTATTTTTTAAGACTTTTTAAATGATCTTATAAAAAAATAGAATTTAGACCAAAACCAAACACGGTATTTTTCCATCATGTGTTATGTGTTTCTTTCTAAGTTACAAAATGACAAATTATTAAAGGGGTCATATGATGCGATTTCAATTTTTCCTTTCTCTTTGGAGTGTTACAAGCTCTTGGTGCATAAAGAAGATCTGTAAAGTTGCAAAGACTAAAGTCTCAAATCCAAAGAAATATTCTTTATAAAAGTTAAGAGTCAGCCACGCCTACCTAAAACGGCTCGTTCTAACACGCCCCCACATGTCTACATCATGATGTGGGAAGATTTGCATAACGCCGCCCAAATGTTCACGCAAAGAAAGAAGGCGTAACTTTTATTCTCACTGTAGTATTGTTGTTGTTGGCCGCCGCCACCATGTCATGAAGGCGCTGTGTGTGTTCTGTGTGTTTCGTTGTGAAAGCGAAACTACTTTGTTTGGCCTTCCAAAAGAGGACAATATCTGCTTCGTCATGCCTGGAGCTGATCAGTGCTGGT